ACTACTACTACTACTACTACTACTACTACTACTACTACTACTACTACGACCACCACCACCACCACGACGACGCCGATCGAACATACGGCAACTCCCAAAAAGATATGTATACGACATGCCTGTGTCAAAATACATTAGATGTTCCCGTACCGCACATGAAAATTTGTTAGTGTTCGGACATGTCCATCTTCAATCAGGTCTAAACACCTAAATGAGCTGAACTGATGTTCAATGGAAACAAACAACAATATCCTGCACCACCTGAACATATTACAACATCAAAAGAACAGGATTGACCAACGCAACTTCCATCGTTTTCCTATATGGTGCACGAACTTTCGGACTTTCACATGTCCCCCGAGAGTTGTTGACCGGACGGGTGTTGAGACTTGTTGATGGCGCGTCGATCGCCGCCTGGTCGTCACTTCCACTTCCATCGCACGCCATCGCACCAGTGGACAAAAAAAGGAAAGACTGGTTGAACAAAGGCCCAAATTGTCCATTGATCGCAGGGATATTGTGAGAATGTGCTTCCCTATGCAATTCACGGGAAAGGTAAATACCCTGGGCCATGGGTAGGGGGTTGATCAGATGTAGGCAGGTGGAGCAGCGAACGTTGGAAGCTCTTCCGGGCTCTTCCCATTGAAAAAGCCAAGCTCGGTGGCGCGTGCATTTTTGTTGAGAGCATGAGAACTATAGACTCTACGTTTGGGCCATGATTACGATCATGCAAGTGAATGGGTTAGGAAGCTGCTTGAGGAGAAACGCTTGTCACCTTTAACTTCCAAGGACTTTTAAGGTGTAGACGAGTTCAACCCTCAAGTTGATTCTGCTTCTACGCATGACTTAACTGTGCACGGTCCCTTTGACTAAGTTGCTAGGCCATTGTATCTGTGATAATGAGGACAAAACGTTGATCTGTTCATCTTCAAGCTTTCACTTCCAGCGACCTGGAATTGGGAGGTGCCGCACCTCGCACCATCACAACCATTTCGAAGCATGAAGAACTGAGCATCCAGAACCACCACTGGTGTGTGCGGAAAGCTCGCTGACACGAAACGCTCACCTCCCTTCCACCGTTCGGTGAGTGTCACATCAACGGTGGTGTCAAGAGGTGTCTGATCCAAAACTGCCATGGTGCCATCGGTTCGCCTGGCCTCATCGACTGAAATGGAAAGCTCGGTTTCCTTTGGAATTGACGAGCTCCCAGCTCCCAGGAGCTTAGACTTAGACGGTGCGTGAGCGCTGGGTGATCTGTATCCACCAAGGTCCAAAAAACAGTAAAAAAGATGGCTTTGTTGACAAAGGTCAACCAAGGTCAGGTATAAAGGAAATTTTAAAAAAAGATCAGCGGTCAACATGATGTGTGCTTCTGGTTCTTTCCTCCTCCACATCGTTCGCAGAGAGGAAGGATGATGAAAACGAGACTGACAGGTCGAACCTAAAGAAAACCTCGAGAGGTCACAGCGATCCACGATGTCGATCCAAATCATGTAGACTCTTGAGGACCATTTTCACCCTTCCATTTGAATTGGAAGTCCTCTTCATCTGCAGGGTGAAAATGGTCCTCAAGAGTGTACATGAGTTGTCTTCGGACTCTAAGACATGATGAACAGCATAGGACTCCAGATTCAAGGCAAGAATTCACGTCCACTCCCATCCCCCGTCAGCCCCCACTGTGGCGCCGTTTTAAAATGGCCGCCTCTGTCAGGGCTGGTCGAAGAAGGAGAGCTAAGACTAGTGAAGGTGACTGAGCGCAAGCTGCGGTACCTTTCTGAAGCTAAGTATCTAAGTATCTTCTCTGGGCCGGTTTCCCAGAACGAATTTGCTTTGTGCTCTTTGGGAAGATCTGGATCAATGGTTCTTGGCACCTCATGGACTGATGCGCCCACGTGCCCAGCGCGCACTCCGAAGAAACTCCTCTTTGCTCACAATGCAGCTTCGTAAGCTGTGGATGAAAGCATTGAAGTATTTTGATCCCTTGCTGAGCACATCCGCGTTGCCGACGCAAATCAGGCCATACTTGGCACGTGTGATCGCGACGTTCAGGAGCTTGTAGTCGGAGAGAATGCCCAAGCTTTCCATGTGAAGTTCCTGCAATGAGCTGCAATAGAAGAGGAATGCCATCTCAGCCTATCTTTCAAACTTCTATCTGCGACACTTCAGCAACCTATTCAGCCAACCATAGGGCGCAACCACCACACACTCTGTTGAGTTGGTACCCAGTTTTAAAAAAAAGGCCCCTCCACCCCAACCACCCTCCCCCGAACTCCGCTCACCGCCCTCTCTTCGTCCCCTACCTGCAGGGCGACGGAGTCCCCCACGGAGGCGACCGCGCTGCTCACCACGTCCTCCACGTCCTCGGAGATGCTGCGCACGAAGCTCACGATGATGTACTCCCGCTCCGAGCCCTGCCGAAGCTCTCGCGGGAGTACGCTCGCTGAACGGAGCTATGGAGGCTGTGTGTGTGGCACGCGTCACATGATGGTACAGCTGGTCAAAGGAAACATGGACTATATACAGTAGGTGTACGTATATCAGTGAGAAACAAGAAATGCTTGAGGAAGAAGGGTGCCCAGAACTCACACTGGATGGGTTCAGCTACCGGAACTTTGTGTTCCCGCTTCGCCTGCAGCGCGTGAACGGTGCCCACTAAGATGGATGCGGCGGCCGAGCCAACGTCACGCTCCAACCTGAGGGCGAGGGCGGGCGAACGGTGCCGAGTTGGGCGTGGTAAGTGGATGAGATCAAAGTCGCAAGTGGATTAATGGATTGCGTAGAATCGGCTCGAAGACCTGTGAGATGAATGATACCGTAATAGATCAGAAATAGCTAATATCCATGCTTGTTCCTCGGTCCTAACATCTATACTAACTATCTTCTAGGTGAAGTACTCGTATCACCAAAGCAGACCAGGCATACCATGCCACCATCCTCCCTGCTTGGCCAGGTCCTAGCCTGGCGCGGATCTCATGCTGCTGTGCCTTGTAAGGCGTGATCACTGCGATGTCCCTTGCGGAGCAGCTCTTCCGCAGCAGGGCCTTGCAGGCGGCCACCACACACTGAGCTTCTCCCACGTTCTTCAGGGAGACCTGGACACAGTACAGCAGGAGAAAGCAGAAGTTCTTAGCCCTTTCTATTTGCATGTGTTTGCATCAGTGGCGGTGTTCTAGACTTGGTTTTGCCGGGTCCGGACTCTAACAACAAATCTTTTCCCTAGCCCTCCAAAACCATCCCCAAAACCATCCCAACATCTCCATAGTATATTAGTTGCTTAGTGTTGCTTAGTGTTCCTTGTACCTCGCACCATTTTTGCAGGCCCCCACCCGTGACAGGCGCCTTACTCTCAATGAGGGCCGCGTCGCAGGTGCGGTTCAGCTCCGGCGATAAGCCCATGGACTGGGAGCCCTTGCAGTCCACGAAGCTCCGGTGCTCCTGCCGAACGTCGCTGAACACGTGGATCACGGAACCCATACTGGTCGGGGATTGAAGAGGGGTGTGGTGCTGGGTGCTGGGTCACCTGGTGTGGGTGCGAAAGGGGCTCTGAAGAGATGCTAGAAGCACGAAGCATGCCAGTTGCCCTCTTGTGATTCCCTCTTATCCTCCACCAAGCACGAAGCCAACAGTCACGTAGGGGCAGCGTTTACGTGAAATCCATCAACATTGGTGAGGCTATTACCCACCGGTGAGGCTCCCCCAAACCCGACCAGACCATCCGGCACTCCTTGGCGTCAGGCCAGATGCAGTTCAGCTCCACTCGGTGCGGGATACAAACCTGATCCTCCAACTTGGACTCGTAGAACTGCGAGGACGGAAAGGATCGAATCGATGGATGCATGCGATACCTCGGGGCGACGGTGCGGACGCGATACCGAGCCGGTCTGCCGGCGTTCACGCACCGGCGGAGGAGAGCGAAAGCGGAGAGAGCGCAGCACGAGCCACCGAGCACCCAGACGCTGCACCACCCGACATCACACGAGTTCCAAAGTCTTCTCGGCAGACTGAAGGATGCAAAAAGACCAATCCAGACAGTTGCAATTGGTTCTTTGATTGGGCTGCCTCTTTTTAGGTTCGATGGACGGGATGGAGAATTCGGAGATGGAGAGGGATCGTTTCTTTGGGAAAACACCCTCCTCCTGAAAACCGTGGTGTTTCAGGCTCCAGAAGTGTGGATTGTGCATGATAGGATGCCAAAAAGCCATGCGAAGCGCCTCACAAAAGCTCAAACAGAATGCGCACTCCTGCGTTACGTTGTTTCATTGAGAGAAATCCTTTTACTCACAAAGTCTTGGGGTGGAAATATGTGATGTATGGTGCCTGGTGGACCTTCTAACATGGATGTGCGAAATGAAAGTCGTGCTTTGGAAGTATTCCTGAAGGTTGAGCTTTTGCAGCTATCAAGGCAGTCGCTACCAGCCCAAGTTACTGCATATTCAGCATGGTGCTTGAGAGCCATCGGCGTGGGTTCTGCAGCATTCGCTCAAGAAATGGAGTTTCCAAAGCGCTCACGTAGGGTGCACATAAGTTGTTCTCCGTGACCACTGGTCCTGGCAAGGGCGGCCGACATATCTATTTCTATGTATGATCTGGCCTCAACCATCTTCGCGGAAGCATCACTGGCCCCACTATTCAGTGTTTTGTTGCTATATAATCTACCACACATACAAAAAAGAAGAACCGGATGCACAATGACCCATCCTAACTGCTTGTGATCTCCCACCACGATGACGCGGCAGCTGGCACCACTGGCGGGCAGCACGATATCTGGCTCACTCGCCTGCGCAGCCTCATCAATGACGATGGTGTCAAAGCTCACAGGCCGCAACACTGATGGACGCTGCCGCGGACCCTGCCGCGGACCCTGCCAGGCGCCCTGCCACGGATCCTGCCACGGATCCTGCCATGGGTCCTGCCATGGGTGCCAAGCGCCCTGCCAAGGGCCTGGCCATGGGCCCTGCCATGGGCCCTGCCACTGCACAGAGCGGGATGGCCATTGTGGCTCCCCTTGCACCAGAGCAGTATGGAGATATGCCTTGGATAAAGGATTCATGGACGGTGGGAGACATCAAGACCGGCGCACAGTATGTGTGCCACAGGCCTGGCTACCAGGCGTGCGGTTGAGTGTGCCAAAGATACAAAACACTTCCCCTAGCGCAAACCTTCCCCTTTCCACCAACCGAAGATTCCAGCTCCACCCACCGAACTCCACCCACGGTGAAATCCAGGGCGACAGACCCTTCATCATGCTGTCCTGTAAACTATTATAGGCCCAGGGCACAGTGGTACAGGTCGTGATCACGATACGACTGTCCTTCAAGACCTTGACCTCTGATGCTTCGTAGCTTCGGTCGAAGGCGTCTCGACTCAATGGAGGACCGGTGAACTTCACCTGGCCGGCTGTGGCCGAAGGAAATAGGGCGACTGGATGTGGCGAGAAGCATGGCGACCCTTTCAAGCACATGTGGCATGTCCACCAAGTGAAGAACTGCATGACGTCCTGGGCGCAACGAAAACGGCCCAGGACTTCTGCTTTCCGTTCGGCTCATTTCCGCTCGTGTCATCCCTTGCCTGTTGGACTTCGCTGACCTTCCAGTGCAGCGCATGTTCTTCGAGGTGCGGCTGGATGTCAAAGCCTCGCTCCATCCGCGTGGTCCTCATGCCGATCGCGAGGAACGAAGGGTGGGGGAGTGCAGCCGCTCGGCGACGTACGGTCGAGCATCTCTTCAAAGTCGGCTGGTTCGAGATGGGGTCAGAGACAATCATGGGTCAGACTGCAAAACAAATGGCTGACACCCCAAAAGCAAAACTGACAAAAGTGCACGAATCTCAGCATTCTCTTCTTCAAATAAGACAAAAGTTTGCTGAACAAAGCGGAGAAAGAGTCCCTCCCTTGTACATGCTTCCATGCGCTCGTTCAATGAACCTGGAATAGACTCGCGTCATGTAGTGCGGCGGGGTACCAGCGCTAATCAGCCTATCCAATAGATGGTCGGCCGCGTGATTGGAAGGAGCACACACCAAGATCCGCCCGCCTGCGCCCAGCAGTTGGACGGTGCGCGAATGGACAGTGGCAGGAGAAGTCAATTCACTTGCACGGATTAAGAGTGGTGAAAGGTGCAATGAGTCTAGAAAACCTACAACGAGTACCAACACCTAGTGAGCCCAAGACCGCCTTAGTCTAGGTGACTTATCACTGTTTGCTTCACATCGTAGCTTTGGTGGGTCGAATTGGTTTTGAAGGCAAATCCACAACAGAGCTACCTGAAGGTAGGCTTCTCCGATGCTAGGTACTAGGTACGCTGTGGTTTCCTGGAAGCACTATCAGCAAAAAATGATAAACATTGTCCTTCAAACATTCGAGCGTCTCCTCTTGCCTTCTAATGCAGTCCACGGCTAAGGTCCTACTATACTCAAACTCCTTTATACATCTTCTACCATCTTCTACACTCTTCTACCCAGTGCCTCTGCGCCCCTGCCGCGCACCGCGCACCTGCCGCACGCCCCAGCGGGCACTGCATTCTCGCCTTGGCGTCGTCGGGGTGCTGAAAGCAGCGCCGCTACGAACTGAACGAGGAAGGACGTCTTTCCCGTGCCGGGTGGCCTTAGGCGTAAGCAAACTGCGTGTCTCTGTGCGGGCGGGGTGCAGTTTTTTGGGGTCAGCGGTGCTGGTTTGAGTCGAGTGAAAGGGAAGACCTCTACCCAAACCGCAAGAAAAGAAGGTAAATCCAAGGCAGTTTGATGAGATAGATTGGTGGAAAAAGAGTTGCCCTGTAGAAGGAAAATTGTCTTTGGGACTTTGGTCATGTTCCATCAAAGCTCTTATACAAATATTGTCTACTCCTAAGGGCAAAACAGTAAGCACATTGATTCCGCTACAAGTGGCCCCTGCACCATGGAGAAGGGCCGCTGCAGGCCGCGTTGCACGGCCAGAGTTTGCTTCTCGTTCAAAGTGGCCCGACTGCAAGCTGAGCACATGGCACGACTCACCTGAAGGTGGTGCAAAGAAAACCGGTGACCGCATGTATGTGGGTGCATCTTGGCACGAAGATCATGAAAACGCCTTTGAGCTTCAAGGTCTCTGGGGCCACTGCCAAAATATATCTCTTTTGAAATCTGGAAGAAAACTCACTTTTGCTCGTGCGACCCATGGGAAGTAAACTCACTTTTGTCGCCACAGTTCACCTCTTCTTTCGTCACCAAGGGCCGCATTTCCATCTCCCTCTTCGAGTCGCATGCCCTGCAGCGGTGGAGACTTCCGCATGTCTTGGAGCAGCTGGATGCTCTTCTTCTCGTTGGAAGGAACCAAAATGAAGTACAACTGCCTTAGCAAGTGATATGTTCTTTTCACAAGAAACATCTTTGTGATTGTGCACGACAGAAGGGAGATCTTGAAGATACGAAATACGCAACCATACTTGAAACATGTAATAGCTGGATAACAGCCCATCCTGCACCATATGACGATCACAATGGAATGGGAACCCTAGATGAGTTACACAGGTGCCAAGTGCAGAAGAGGTGCCAAACCTCCGCGACATCCAGGAAAGGCTTCCTCATGCTGACTTGGGGAAAATGCAAAATGATTGACAGCTTCGCCTTACTACGAACTAGAATTCTATGATTAGCCTTGTTTAAACGACAGAAAGAACCACAAAGAATTACAAAAAGATTCATCAAACACTCCCAGCTTCTGCACGTCTCTTGCAAGCTGCGCCACTTTTGACAGCTCCACCTCCACACAAAGCCTCCTCCCCTCATCCTTCGCTTCCGTCGCCCGCGCCCGCTGCGCCGCGCGGACGGACCGCACCAGGCCCTGCAGCGTCGCCGCGGCGTCCGGACGGGACGCGGCGCTCGCCGCGCCGCGCTCGGCGGTGAGCACGGCCAAGTCGCCCGGCTGAAGCCACTGGGACTCCGAGAGCTTCACGTCCACGTCGCAGCGGAAGGTCCATTGGCCGTCGGCCTTGAAGTGGGAAGGGAGTGAGAAGGGAGGGTTGGGAGTGGGGAGAGTTGCTGGAAGTTTGGGAAGAGGTTCAGAACTTTAGAGGCTAGACTGCCCAAACAGGAATGGGTTGGACCTTCAGAAGCGTCCAATCAAACCGCGAGGAGGCCTGAGAAAAATCATGTCCTGAGGAAACCCTTGAAGAAATTTCAGAGTCTCACTGTGTCACTGCGTAGAAAAAGCCGATGTTTTGCCTGAAACCATTTGATGTTGCTCACACGACTTGCTGGAGTGTAGGCATCGCCACTGGCCACCGCTGCAGCATGGACCTTCGAGGCAGGAAGTGTCAGAACATGCTGTCTGCAGGTCTCAGACAGACCCTTAAAGAATATGCTTTCCATGTCTGTCGGAAGTGAAAACATCTTTTGCCATCTTTTGGATGATGGCTCACCCGTGCACTAGTTTCCTCTGAATGTAAAGTCGGATGCACAATAAGCAAAATGATGTCAAACATGTGCTCACCAAAGAATTCAACTATCCTTTTGCAACCTAAAGGCCAACCAGGCAGGTCCTCAAGTTTCTACCCTGAACATCCAGTTGAACAGGTTGAAAAAGGAGCCGAGGCGCTTGGCAGGACTTGATCCGCGACCAGACTTGCGAATAGATCTCCACCTCTCGGAGTTTGTTTGGACACAAAAAATGGTGACATGTTCAATGAATTCTGAGTTCCCTGACTTCGGCCTCAGACTGCGAAGCCGCCAGCCCTTCACAATGATCATCAATTCCACGATCCGCCGTTAAGAGTTTGACAGCGTTGAAGGTCTTTCCTTTTGAAGTGGGACCATTTGATGTGGGGGAATGACATGGTCCTCTCCAACTCGTGCTGCTTCACCTTGTGCATGTAAAAAAAGAACCGGCTTCAACCCGGGCCAAAGCCCCGACCCCCCGCCGGACCTTCCGGTCCAGCTGCGGCCAATCACTCAAGTCGGGCCAAGAGGAGAAGGACTCCGGAAAACTCTTGAGACCGATGGCGAAGACGAAGTCCTGCGCTCCAAACTCTTCAACTGCACGAAGAGTTTCACTCCCGAAAACTCACAGAAACCCGAACTACACTGGTCCTGTGGAAGATGGTTTTCCTCTACCAACCAGTGGTTTTGGGGGTCCATGTTAATCTTCAGGGGAGTATGTAAAAAAGAAGTCTCTGGAAAGTGAACATATATGAAAATGGCAGTTATATAGATGTAGTTAGTAGATTGGGCCAGTTCTGCTTGTCTCCCTCCAAAACATGCAAATTCATCCACTTCCTCCATCAAACACGCAACGCGTCTCATTTCAGGAAACGGGCCCCAAAACTCCTTCTGGGCATGGAATTTCATCTCGGAGACCACGATGGAATTCGGACTGGCGTGGTGCGGAATGGGCTGCGCGAAGTTCCGCGCGATGACACAGCTCATGCGGGGCGCGTGCCAGGAAGAGATCCGCAAGGTGTCCACGTCCCTGCGAGGTTGAACCACTCAAAAGGCGGGTTCCATGCGGCTAATATGTGGCTAAAACGTGGTGGGTCAGAAGTGATGATGTTGGGTTGAGTGGTTGAGATGTCGGGCTCATGTCCGCTCTTGTTAGGCCTTCTCAGAACTACCAAGATGGTTGATGTTCATTTTGTAAAGAAAGCCGCGGCCGCGGCCTGCCATTTTGCATGGTGAGCTTCGTCGATTGCGTGACCGGGTCATACTCTGAGATACAGCTGGAGCTGCACAACGAGCTCACGGGCACCTTCAATTCCTCACGCCGCTCGATGCGTCCCACTCCGCGTCAAAACCGCCGTACGGATCGGGCCCTCTGGGCTTGATCCCTCGAATGAGAAAGGTCAGAACAGGTCAGTAGTGGTCACACTGACCACGTGCAGAAGAACTGGTTTTGACACCCTATGGGTGATTCTGGAAGGGTTTTGGTTACAGGATGTAACAGGGATCCCTGGAAGTCAAAGACCATTTTAAAAATGGTTGTTCCGTAAAGGCTATTAAAACAATGGTGGTTCGACTTCTAGGGGGATATCAAAAAAAAGGTTTAACATTCTTTGGAGACCCTGTGACTCGTTCCTTTCGATCGACTCCTCAAAGAAAGAGACCGAACGAAAAATCCACCCATCCGCTTTTGGCCCACCTCTTAGACCTTAGCACGGTCGACCCTGGTCACTGGTCGAGCAAAAACCCACGTTTTACGGCAGGGATTCCAAGATCTGCGTCGTCTCCGAAGGGATCAGCACGTTGAGGTACTTCGGACCCACCGCTCCAATCACCGCCTCTGAGTACCGCTGCCCACTGCCCAAGAGCTCTCGCATCCTGCGCGCAGAAGAACCGCGTCAGCTGCTGCCCGATCCCCGAGATGAACGAACCAAGGGAGGTTAAGTGACCTGAACTAGGACCACTCTGGGGTACCTATGGGATAGTCTACACTTCTTCGACCTCTGTTGGGAGCTCATGGACGATGAGTCGATATACTCCTCTTCCAAAGTGGAAGAAGCCTGTTGGCGCTTAACCCGTGTGTCAGGTTGAAACGAGGTCGGGCAAATCATTTAGCGATACTTTGCCTGCAAACTGCAAGCCACATTCTGCCAACTTTATAAGGAATATGTTCGTTCCTGCTGCTGGCTTTGAAACAACCATAGTCACGGGTCCTTCAATGCGAAAGACCTACTGACCTTACTGCCTCACACGTGCGCAAAACCAAGCCCATGGTGGTGCGGGGTTAGTTTTACCGCCACACACCTGACACACACTGCGTCACGGCGTACCTCACCTGGAGATGGTCCGAAAGATGTAGAGCCCAAAGCTCTGCGCAGCCCAGCGGCAGTTCGTCCGCGCGATGGCCTCCTCTAAGTCGACCTGCTTCAGCAGAAGGTGCGGAGACAGCGCCGCAGCGCTGGTCCAGCCCTGCTGACACTTAAAGGCACGCATGCCGAGGATATCGATGTAGCGTTGCAAGGGCAAGGTGACCTTGGCCAACGCGTGCTGGATGGCTTGTTGAAACTCTGGTGTTTCGGTTCGTTGAAGTAGACCTGGTGCCCAAAGTGAGGCTGCCTGCTATGTTTTGGTGAGAATGTGCATCCCAACAAGGAAAGCCCAGCTGGACAGGAAGACACACCAACGAAGAAGCTGCAAGGCAATTGAAAAAGAAAGCTAGACACTTGTCGTCTTTCAACCCATATCCATGCTGGCTGTCATCCAGGTATGTTCCCATACAGTTCGGGTTCGTTTGACCCGCCGTACATCCACACCTCTTCACACCTCTTTGCCCCAAGCGGCATGGAATCGGGGCTCACAAAGCCACCAGTCCGCCGCCGAATCCGGCTGCGCCGAATCCACGAGGTTCGTGACCTCGTAGTAAGCTGAAGGAATGGCCGCATGCAAGCGACGTAGAAAGGAGGACTGGCACCAGGGATGAGCGGCATGCGGCAGAACTCAGAGATGACCAGTGATGGGCTACGCGGACGCGAACTCTGAGCTGTGTGCTCTTGAACATTGCACACTCCTCAAATTGCATCCATGGAGACACATGTTGACCATTCAGTACCTAACCTCGCCTGGCACGCATGCTTCTGCACCTTGCTGAGCCCAGGTTGCGCTAAAATCTCCTGCAGCGTCTGCATGATCTCCTCAGCTGAGGGGACGCAGCTTGGCTTGGCTCGTCAGAACGTCAGGATCACCTACAGAACACCTCTGTACCTATTCTGTACTTCAAGATCCTGTGATATGGTTCTAGATAATTTGAGATCATTCAAACATCCGTAAGTGGTCGATGTAATAAAGCATATAATAATATAATGTTCTATGATTCTATGATCAACAATGAAAGCTCCGCCATGTCTCCTTCAGCCGGATCTCCTTGTTCCTTTCATTCACTTTCAACCGGAGCAATCGCTCGACCACCTTCCGCATTGAGGGATCTGCTTGGCCCTGGAGGTATCGCACCGCCACAGCGACCTCGTCTTCCTCCGTGCCGGTGACGTGCTTCCATGCGCAGGGCGTCAAGGTGG